GGACGATGTGAGCTTGATACTCAGCAGTTGGCTCTGCAACAAAGTCGAATAATCTGAATACGAAGTACATTCGAATACGAATTCGAATAAACATTCGAATAAAACATTCGAATAAAATCTATTCGAAACCCCGTTTTTTGATTATTCGAGTTTTCGAATAATATTCGAAACCTCGTTTTTTCATTATTCGAGTTTTCGAATTTTATTCGAAACCTTGTTATTTGATTATTCGAGTTTCGAATTTTATTCGAAACCCCGTTTTCTCAATTATTCGAGTTTCGAATATTATTCGAAAATGGAAAAACTCCGAATATCGAATTTCGAATACGAATATATTCGAATGTTTTATTCGAATGATCGAATTTCTATTCGATTCGGACCCAAGTATAATGCACGTACATCTCCGCTGGGGAGGGGAGGGGAGATCTAAGAGGGAATGCGTCATCTCGCTAATCTAGTTATCTTTCTCCTTCCTTCTCCTTCCTGCATGTGAAGGTTCTCATCGTTTTATACCTGCGCATAGTGGATGCCAGGTTACCTCCACATAAGGTTGTTTTTTTTTGCCATTTCATGTGATCCCCAGGAGATCACCTCTCATTTTTAAAGTGATTTTTCTTTCTGAGAGGTCAATGAAAACGCCGCAAAATTGTACCGAGGATATACTACGGTGCTGCTAAGTATGTTTTCGACAGAAAATGGAATCTAAAGAATATGATTTTCTCGATGATCCCTAGTTCGCAAGCTAGGGATTATTGAAGATTTCGATATCCTGAGATTCCACTTATTTCTATTATAAATATCTTTAGCAGTGCCGTAGTAGATCCACAGTACAATTTTACAGCGTTTTCATCGAGTTTTCAGGAAGATAAATAGCATTGAAATTGAGAAATTGAGAAGTGATTCCCTGGGGATCCCCAGGGGATTCCCAAGGGATCACACAAAATAGTAAAATTCTAATCGTTTATGTCATTAATCTGATCAACTATGCGCGGTATTAGGGTATGAGAACCTTCATAAGCAACATAGAGAAGGAAGAAGAAAGGTACCTAGAGTAGCGAGATATAACGCAATTCCTCTCAGATCCCCTTTCCTCCCCACCGGGGATGTACATGCATACGGGCCTTAGTAAGACAAGTTTGTTGAAAAGTTGTTTATTTATGCAAATGGGGTACATTATTTATGGTAATTATGGTCAACAGGATGGGCGTGGTTACGGTAATAATGAAAATTTACCCAATTTTATACAGTTACAAGTGTGTTAATTACATTATTTTGTTTGTGTAGTTTAATGTTTTCTAAAGGGATAATAAGAAAAGATTTGATTTTGGATCTATTTTTTATGAATAACTAGCTTGCTTACCCGGCTCCGCCCGGCCCTGTGAAAACACTGCAATAAAGGTCCCATCCCTATACCTGTACAGCCTTTCCCTGTGCCCACTTCTACACTTCTTTTCCCGTACCCTGTGTTGTTTTCGAAATCAGCATGCCCACTTACCCTCCTGTGCCAACTCCCAGCCCTGTAGCTCACCTTTGCAAAAAATCGATAAAATCGATGAAAGTAATGGACGATTTCAAAAACTGATATTGTATTCGTAATCAGCATGCTCGATTACGCCCCTGTGCAAACTCCCAGCCCCATAGCTCAAACTTTGCAAAAAAATCGATAAAATCGATAAAAGTAATCAATATTCCTGAAAACTAATATTGCATTCGGAATCCCCATGCCGACTTACCCCCCTATGCCAACTCCCAGCCCCTTAGGTGAACTCCGCAAAAAAATCGATAAAAATCGATAAAAATCGATAAAATCGATATCGATCGATGACGAAAAGTAGTCTTTGACACCCGCCGGGGCTCGAAGTGTATGTGTGCCAAGTTTGGTCCGGATCGGTTCAGAAATGGAATTTTCTATTCGGAACATACGTACACACAGACAGACATACAGACAGACAGACAGACAGACAGACATACAAACAGACATTCAGCTTTATATATAAGATTATGTAATAATTTTAAAATTAATCTTTTTCATTTCAATTTTTTGACTTTTGGATATAGTTACCGTTTGTAAGAAGGTTTTTTTTGAGTTTTAGTAAAGTTTGATAGTTTTTAGAACTACAATTTTAAAAAAAATTTTGAGTTCAGGTTTGATATTAGGTTGTCCGTAAATCAATGCAGGTTTTGAATTCCAAACCGCAATAAGTCATACACTTCTCATTTCTAAGTAGGTTGCAAAACATCATTTGATAGAGCAAAGAAGCTCTACAAGATGGCAATCTTGATTTAGCAACAGCTCTAATCCACCACGAGTTTCGAGCCAAAAACTAAAAAGACTCAGGAGCCCAAAAAATCGAAAAGAATCGTAACTCAGTTCATAAGAATCCTACAAAAATTCTAACTTGCTCACGTAAAGACTATCCACATAAGACGTATATGCACGCAGTTGCCGTATTTTTTTCTCGGTTAGAAAGCAAGAAAACGAAGATTTTTATGCTTCTGCCAAAGTTATGCTGTGCCGTTCCCACCTAAGTTATTGTATACTACAAACCTGTGGAAGTACAAACGTAAATTTCCAGCTCTCTACAAGCTTTAGTTCTCGAGAAATATCGAATACAGTTTTCTTAGTCATCTGGTTCAAGCTAAAATTCAAATTTCTCGAGAACTAAAGCTTGTAGAGAGCCGGAAATTTACGTTTGTACTTCTACAGGCTTGTAGTATACAACTACTTATGTGGGAACGGCACAGGATCACTTTGGCAGAAACATGAAAATCTTCGTTTTCTTGATTTTTAACAAAGGAAAAAATAAGGCAAAGGCGTATATAGGTGTTTTATGTGGATAGTGCTTACGTGAGCTAGTTAGAATTTTTGTAGGATTCTTATGAACTGAGTTACGATTTTTCTCAATTTTTTGGGTAGTTGAATCTTCCTAGTTTTTGGCTCGAAACTCGTGGTGGATCAAAGCTGCTGCTAAATCAGGATTGCCATCTTGTATAGCTCGCTTTGCTCTATCGAAGTATGTTTTGCAACCTACTTAGAAATGAGAAGTGTATGACTTATTGCGGGTGGAATTCAAAACCTGCATTAAATTCCGGACAACCTAGTAGTATTTTCAATAGTTTTTTATGATGATTAAATTGTGACCTATTGTTAATACCCAGTTTGTTTTTATATCTAAATTCTTCTGTATCTTTATTTTATGTAGTATTAATTATTTTATTTAGTTAAGTGGGGTTTGGATGTGGCTTTGTGGCTGCCCGCTGAGAGCTTTTGATTATCTGAGCTATTAGGATTTGCTACAGAATACTTCCGGGCAAAGTTTGCATTTATTCTATGATATGGCCCACTTACTGTATGTCTACCGTACTTCCGCCAGATGGCAACGCCGCATGAAGGGCTCTGCTAACTTGTGATTGGCGCGCAGAAACCTCACCGGGTCGAACTTTAGCCATGATTGTGACTTCATCCCACTTACCGAATACCTACCGTGATCGCTCCTGATGACAACAGCGTACGTAGCAGGTAGACTGTCCATGATCAGCGCCCCGAATAATTCCAGTGTCCCGAGTTCCGGCTGATTCCGCCCCCTTAATATACCTATCGTAAAACTGCCGTAACCTTGCCAGATGTCACCGCAGATTTTGTGAATATTCGTGATCAGCGCAGGTCCGGCCAATTTTGTGATTTTCTCCTGTCTAACGTAAACCCCCGCAACCCGCTATATGTCTCCAAGGTAAAAAATGAATACCATATTCGTGATCATAACAACGAATAACCCCCTGGGCCACAATTTTACAAAATTTCACATTTCGTAAATAACGGCGCACCACAATACGCCATCGCCTGCTGAAACTACGATCAGAATGAACCCGAAAGTTTTAGCTGCTCTTCTTCTTTTGTGCATTTCTCTTTCTGTGACCAGATTAAAAGTTATCTTTGAGTTTCACGATAGACTGGAACGCGCAGCAAACGTAGAATTATCGCAGAGCCTAGCTCCCCTTTTATTAGCGCTGCTTCTTGTGTAGAACGATCTGAGCAATGTTTCCCTACTAAGCGTAAACTGCCGATTACGCCTCCTACCATATCATCCCTTTCCGATTTGGTTTATTCAGTGCACCTGCTAAGGGGTCAAAAAGATGGCTCAAAAAGATGAAAAGAAGACGTTAGCTTAGTATAACTCAAAGTTGACTTAGAGTTATGACTGCGAAATTTTACAGGTTTACTACCAATTTAGTTTTTTTCACCGCTTCTTTCTCAAAATTCTTGAAATTTTAGCTCAAGCTTTGATTTGGAGGTCTCAGTTCAAGAGCTAACGACATGTATGTACATAACATTTGTTTCTCGTCAAAAACTTCATGCACTTTTAGCAGCACCTAGTTCCACTGGTTATCCGAAGCAGTTAGCTACTATGCAAATTCGAGATATAGAGTTAAATATCACAAATAATATCACAATATCAAATAATATCGTATAATATCACCTTTGTACGGAGAACCCATCGTTGATAAAGATGCGGTTTGCAAAATATCAAAGAAACGAAAACCGCGCACATGATCCTTAGCTCCAAAACTTGTTATGTATTACATTTATAAAATCGTGACGACGGACTGACGCGGACTTTGCGCTTATCGGAGCATAAAATACTCATACAAAGAGACATTACCTCAACGCTCTGCTCAGTCTCTTCCAGTGCCTATATACTAGCATGCGTAAGCAGAAAAACAATTAAAGTAGCGATGAAAACCAAAAAGATGCTTTTGCCGGAAATGCGCTATGTCGCGCGCAGTAGCGCCATCGTCAGGATCTTTCAAATGCCCTATACATTTGCATGTATCAAAGGCAAAGGCAAGACAGGTACCCGCAACTGATGGGCAGTGCCTTAGTTAGGACCCCCCCCCCCTCATCAGATCTTAAGCGAAAAACTCGTGTGCTCCGATATTTGCCTGTGAGGCCGGATGAAGATGGTCGATAACTTCTATAATGTGGAGGAAAAAAGAGTCTAAACGCAGGTTTATTGAATGAATAAATAAAAGAAAAGTGGATGTTGTGTGGAATACACAAGCAAGAAAAGGCTTGCATAGAAGTGCAAACACCTTTCATTCGAGAGTGCACAGTGCATCTTCCGTACACCAGGAACCAGCTGCACAAGCTGTGCAGGGAGTTCCTTTTCTGTAGATAACCTGCTCCACATAATTACCTCTAAAATAGATATGTACTTAGGTACACGTGAAGAAGTATTGAGTACTTTCACGAATTTACCTAGGAGAATATCTGCAGACCGCGACATAATCGCTACCGCATTTTGCGATGGCACAACCAAGCTTGCGAGACGTGGACCACCCCATCTTAAACATCACCAAATCATGTTTTCTGGTTTTCTTGTATTTTATGAACGCAAAAGAATTTGTAAGCTTCCACGGAAAGCAGTATCGCCTACCTGTGTAAAAGACTCGATCGGAGTGCCGACATGCTTCTGTCGAAAATAAACTTGCAAACCAGGACCCTCTTCAGTGCGTATCACCTTCCACCATGAAGTTACCGCCTAAATCATCGGTTGAATGGAAATGATTTCGCTTCTAAAAGTTCACCTTTTCAACGGCAAGCAAGTACGTTGCCAATCCCTCCTGAGGCACGCGAATAAAATTTTCTCCCACATCAGGTCGCGTGAATTCAGCTGATTTGGATAAAGGGCAGGTACTTACATAGTCAATCACTACCTTCTCCAGCGCACAGTTGTATCTCTAAAAGAAAATCAGTATGTGTTTTTTACATCTTCTTCAAGTGTATGCAACCATTCTTTGCATGTCAGATGATTGAGGTAAATAATTCCCGTTCCGTTTAGCAACGTTTCCTTTCGCAAGTTCCGCTCTGAAAATAATGACATATAAGAGTCAAAAACGATTTAGATAGGAAAAACAGCGCCTTTTCTGACCTACGATAATTGTGCATATCTAAGAATTTGGTTCTGAGAGTATCGTCCATTCCGGTATTTTTTGGACATCTGTCGTTTGGTCCTAGAGCAATATCTGATCAAAGTGACAACAATGTGGTAAACACCAAGGTTTCATAAAACAAACGCGAGATAAAAGGTACAAGGTCTGCCAAGTTTTGCAAACCCTAGTCGTTAATATTAGGTTATCTCATAAGCTTTTTCGATTTTGATTCTTACAACAATAAGTCACGCCGTTCCCAACTCTGACTAGAATGCAGGGTACCATTCGTTAAAGCAAAGCAAGCACCTATAAGATGGCATGCGAGTGTTTGCACCAGCTTCGGCACATGACGAGTTGGAAGGAAATCTGAGAACTTTTGGCTGCCCAGAAAAATTGAAAATCTTCGATAACTTCGTCCAAGGAAAATTTACCGGATCCCAAACTCGCTCACGTAATACACTCCACATGAGACATTCATATGTGCCGTCGCTGTGTTCGTTTCTGTGCTAGAAATCGAGAAAACCAACACTTTCAAGCTTACAAAAAAGCGATGCTGTTTTCACACAGACAGGTGTATACTACAGGCTTTCAATAATACATCGGTAAATTTTCAGCTTCCTGGAAGCGCTATTTGTTTAGAAAGATCGAACTTAGCTTTTTTGATAGGGTAATTTATGTTGAAATTAATATTTCTTGGGAAGTAGAGCTTCTAGAAAGCTGAAAATTTGTGGTTATGCTTTTAAAGCCCTGTAGTATACATCTGCCTGCGTGAAAACAGCGCAGCATCGCTTTTTTGGAAGCTTGAAAATTTTGGTTTTCTGTGTTTCTAGCACCGAAACAAATACAGCGACGGCACATATGAATGCCTTATATGGAGTGTATATGCGTGAGCGAGTTTGGGATCCGGTATAGTCTTGTGGACAGAGTTATAGAAGATTTTCAATTTTTTGGGCATTTAAATGTTCTCAGATTTCGGCTTCTAAATTGTAATATGCTGGAGCTGGTGCGAACACTCGCAGGCCATCTTAAAGAGCTTGCTTTGCTCTATCGAAAGGCACTCTGCATTTTGACAGAGTAAAGAACTGTGCGACTTATTGCGGAGAGAAATCAAAATTGAAAAAACTTATGAGAAAAGCTGACAATTCCAGCCACACGTGTGTGACAATACCTTTATAACAGTTGAAATGGATGCAACTCGATTTATTGCACGGAACATGATCGATGGTTTTTCTTTGATTCACATTTACAATGGAAGCTTCCGTCACTTAACTTAATTGTAATTTGACCGCCACAAGAAGTTCAGTATAAACTTGTGTGAACGGATCACTTGCGCTGCTTTTGTCAACGACTGTGCACATATCTTTGAATTGCAATTAAGCGAGCGTAGAATTTTTATAGTTTCTGATATCTTTCTGAACCAAAGACTTTGATTATGGTAGAAATCGCTTGTAAGTTCCTACCGTTCCAATTGAAAGGACTATCAACGTCCCGTTTACGGTAGAGACTCAAGTGAAGCTGTACAGAAAGTGCTCAAACGGCCAAACACGTTGTGGAGAGGGTTATCAGCTACCAAACAAAGCGTACATAACCTTAATCACCTCGTATTAGATGTTAATCTTTTTTTTTTCATCACTTCCAAAGTCGCTTTCGAAACAGCCAGATGCATAGCACGTGGAAAGCTTACATGTCCGAAATCAATCGATAGTTGGCTAATGGATGCCCATTTAACCAAAAAATCTTGAGATTCTAAACTAATGTGGCGATTGACGGTGTTCACTTATGGCGAAGACAAATGCTTCAGTTGCGGTGTAGACTCTTTGTTCACACTTTTTTGAGCAAAAATAACGGCTGTTCCGACAACTGAACTTCTTCTGTTTTTATTTTCTGCGTGTAGATTGATGAAACTTATAACGACACGAACTTGATTTGGATGTCACTAGTTGTAAAACTGATACTGCTCGATCATTGCCTATACCTGTCCTCATTGCTCTGAGGATTTGAAATCAAAGTGCAGGTATACTGGTTGTGAATTAGATGCTCTATACATCAATCTAAGGTATGGCCGCTCATTTAAGAAACGTCAGGCATTCAGCCAGAAAGAAATCTTCTGCTAAGTAATCTATCATGGAAGGAAGGTGGGTTTGCGATTTGGAAGATGCGACGAAAATGGATTGCTTCTTGATGTGAATAGACTTTACCTGCAGAGGCTGGAGGAAACTCAGCCGGCGACTGCGGTGCGGGTGGCGCACAGGTGGTTTTGCGCCTTGGAATACAAGAGGTGGTCCCGGCTGTTTTCGTTGCCAACCCCGTGCACGTAGTCGCTGACTTTGTGGTTGTCGTTGTTGCTGGCGTGGTTGTAGTCGCCGCTGTTGTTGTAGTAGTTGTCGTTGGTGCTGCAGTCGTCGTTGTAGTTTTCGTTGGTGCTGCAGTCGTCGTCGTCGTAGTTGTCGTGGTTATCGTAGTAGTAGTTGTTGTTGTTGTCGTGCCACGTAAGTGGTAAATGGTACCATCAGTCGCCAAACTACTAAATTTTTAAGCTTTTCACCGATATCAAAAATATCCGTTAATGTTTCCGTCTTTATTTTTATGCTGTGCTGTAAATCATTCGTATAATCGCCCTCTATTTCAACTCTGGTAGGCAGAAGCATATCATCTGAGGACAGCGTGTGCTTTGCAATCGCACAGCGCTATTTGCCCATGAAAGGCGCCGTCCACTCAAAACCTAAGTTGGTGAGATTTTGATGCTGCATAGTAGCGGGCCCCCTAGTCAAGTAATCGCCCAAGTTCCGCTACAAAAAACGGCACTTTTGCATTTTCCGGAGCCATTTTCTTTTCAGGAAGGATATTGCTTCTTTCCTTGTACCAGATTTGGTGAGAACTTCATAGGATGGAGAGTCAACCTCCTGCCAGGTGTCAAAAAATTGACATGTCACTCACATGTTAAACATGTTTTACCAAGACTTTGTTTAGCCTACCTATCAATGTGAGTTACATCTTTTTTTTTATTTGGCAGTGGTTCCAATTTTAGCCAACAGTTTAACGAATGAGCTTCAACATTATGAAACGATTTTGTGTTTAATAAATACATTAGGTTTTTTTAAGACAGAAGTGGGCCATTGTTCTATCGTGTGAACGAAGAAACAACTGGCAGCCAGTACTTAAGGCTACTAGAAGTTTGAATAATCGTTTAAAACTGGTTTGTTTATAAAAGACCTCTGAACAGCTTTCAAGTCATTTCAGATGCTCTCGTCATCACTGGAAATGATTTGGAAAAAACTCAAACTGGCCCCAAACATTTTGATTTTTACCCTGACACTGGTAAGGAGACAGTCCTCACAAGATCTATGAAAAAAAATTTCTAGCCTGAAGCACGTATTTTATGAGATTGAAAAATGTGTCCTGATAACGGAAAAGTACCCAAAAAAACTAATTCCGAAACAAAACAATTGCTCTAAAAGGTAGCAGCGGCCCAGACGGCACCGTTGTCAACGTAGGTGGTCTGAATATCTCACGTCTAAAATTGGGCTTCAGCTAGAAAATGTCGAAATCCTATAATAATAAGGAAGGGCAGATTTATGAGAATTTCCGATACATTAGAGAGCAATGACTTATTAATTTCACCACGTTGATAGGCATACCTTGCTCACCAACGTGCGTCTGAAGTTAATAAATTCAAATTGGAGTTTAATGTATTTGAGATTATGTTGTCTGGGCGTGCTCATAACTTCTGAGGCATTATTCTCGCTTCGAAATTCACCTTAGGTGACTACCTACAAACGAGTCGATGTGGCTGATCAGCACGAGATGCATCCCAATTTTGAGAACATGGAAAGCTGGTTTTGAATCTGCCTTCTGCAAAACGCCTCTGGGAAGAGAGTTAAGCGTTTCCATGCGGTACCGAGCACTCAACATGAACTTGCACCTCGTCATATCGTGTAGGCATGGGGCAGTGACTAGTGTGCTGTTCCTGAGATTACGGTAGGTTCGAGTAAGCTTTGCGCCAAATGTTCTGCATTGTATGTACCTTGCTGAAAATTGAGTAGTTAAGCCTTAGAAATGAATTTCCTACCTTGAGCGATATTTATCGATAAAGTAAACATAGAGCGGTTATATGCTCGATGTCGTGCCTGGCGGAATATTCACTATTTTTATTTCGCCAAAGTTTGAATATACGTAACATTAAGCTAAGTGTGCTAAGTGACTTAAGAATGATGCCGCATGCTTCAGTTTGCACTTTGATTAAAAGGTCTTTTTTTCTCAAAGTTTGCATCATCAAAAGAAAACTTTGATTTGTAAGTGTCATTTTTGGATATATGAAATGAATTTTATGCCGTTTGCTCCAATAATTATCGCTTAAGTTAGGAAAATCATTTCTAAGGCTTAATTACTCAATTTTCAACAAGGTACATACGCCACCACCACCATACACCACACCTTGCCACTGCGCCATGCCTATATGATATGACGAGGGGCAAGCTAAGTGCTCACCGTGTCGGGAAAACGCTTATAACTTTCTTTCCAGAAAGTCCTGCAGCTAGTGAAGGCAGATTTGGAATCAGCTTTCCAAGTTCTCGGAAATGATATGCCTCTCGTGCTGATCGGCCACTTCGACTCCGCAAGCCTCCCTTGTTAGTTTGGGATCTCCACTACTACATAGCATCAAATATCACCAACCTTAATCTTGGGAAAACTGTGGCTTCAAATGAACGAAATGATGAAAAGTAATACGGCTCTTGTCGTGATGCGATCATGCTGCCGTCGCGTTGCGACGCGAACAACGCTACGCGCGTTATCTCAAGTGTGCCTTACTCTGAGTTGAAATGAACCGTATGCTGCTCATCCTGAGCCTAAAACGCCTTCTTTCACAAAAACGCGGTACTCTCAGCAAAATGATAGACATGCTTATACAAAGCGCATAGCTTCCATTCTAGGAATTCTTGGAAAAGCTAGCCTATTGCGAGTAATTCTAGCATCCTGCTTGGGTTGCGCGCATATAAAAGCTAACACTTTTGTCAGAGCATTCATCCTATTCGATAAAAAGTGTTCTTTCTTCAAATGATGTGCGGTAGCAGCAATTTTTCCATCCTTTTGTGCCATTTTGAAATTAACAGGTGTTTTGACTCAACCCCACGCTCTTTTTGATGAATAACCTCTTCAACGCATCATGAGTCCAGACCATATGTAGTTGATGTGCAAGGAAAGTAGACTCACTCTTGGTTGGTGAAACAGTAAATCACGGTGCGGTTTACTGTATGACCGAAAATATTGCATAGCGTCTCAATACATCCAATCTCGTTTATATCTTCGCGCATAAACTGGAACACCCTTTTACTTTACAATTCAATTTTTATTTTCATCTTTTTGCAAAAATTTCTAGGAATGCTCATGTACTTACATTTGCGTAAGTTTTCAATTCATCATTGCCGTCGAATTTGACATCTTCTTCTCTAATAGCGGAAGTGCTGATCGCATTATAGTTTATAGAGCTAAGCCATATATTTAGTATGCCATCTAAGTGGTCGTCGGGTCCACTATCATAAGTGCTGAATAGATCAATGTCGTAATACTCAGTTTAGAACCTCTTGCAGCTTGCAAGCACAAGTACATTAGCTAAATGTGGAAACAAGTTGATCAACACGTCGCCTATCATTGACCGTATCACCCTGCTACGCAGAGTGGCATTTGTCATTGTCTCTATCTGACGTAAGCATTCAGCGGTACACGCTACTACGGTTTTTCAAGCAGCTGTCGAATGTTAGTTTTACAGCAAACTTGGGTCTATGAGTGTCGATTAAAGCTCACGGGTTATGTAGCACAAAATATAGGACTGTTATGGTCAAGCTCAAGAAAATGTATTCTCATGCAAAAAGCTCCGTTGGTAGATGATTGTGGTTTAAGTGGGACGTAAACGTGCAGCAACTTTTTCCTGCATGTAAGAGTAGTATTACTGAAAACATACTAGCTGAAAAATCCGAACTTTCCAGTTGCTGGAGGGTCATCATATGGGCATGTACTCACTGCGTCTCTTGCTTCTTCCTCCAAATTACAGCTCCATGTCTGAAAATTTGTAGATGTATCAGATGATCGAGTTAAAGATGAAAAATAGAGAGTTCTGTTGTTTTTAAAACCAGCTCAAAGTTTCGATGTACTGCAGTTACACACGAAAGTTTTTGCATGGCTACATCTTGCTGTATATGACACCTTCTTTGCGACCAAACTTTTCAAGTATCATGTTGTACTAACTGCATGACGCCACCTTTTCGTACCCACAATAATTCACTTATAGTATAGTCTGCATGGCCCCAGTATCGCGCTAAACTCCTGAACTGATAATTAGTGATTAAGCATATGGAAATGAACGAAAATGTTGAACATTTCCCCCGATTCACTGCTGGACATATCCGTTGTTTGGAAAGTTTATAGCTTTTGGTATGAGCACTCAGTGAGAGCAAATCTTTTATTCTGAGTATACAGGAATTTTGGAAGATGACCCATCATATAGAACGCAGTGATGGTTAAAAGGTTTTTTCACGAGCGTAGCTGCAAAATCAAACTAACCAAGGGATCGATCTGCTTCGCTGCTGGTAGAGGGTCTCCAGGGGTAGAATCATCATCTTTCATTCCATTCTGCTGTTCCCCTTTGGCTAACTTTTCACGAAGGTCGTTTATGACCTTTAGCGATGCGGTTTGTTTATCATCAGCCAAGCCGGCGCTCGAATCCGAGTAGGTGCACTGTCCTGCCAAAGAGAGTGGAACAATGGCTGCCTCAAAGTGGCAAATCTGGTTGCGGACTCTGAGGACATAACAAATTCGAAAAGAATACCAGCAGTGATGCTGTGCATAAAAGCTGCTGCATACTTGTTTGATGTGGGCAACGAGTGCTTCTTAATAAACTACGTGTATTCAGAATGATGAATTTAATTAGGAGCGTTTTCCGTGATGCACTAGTTTTTACTGTGTTTTTCGATGCTGTGCTGGCAATGTTTGTAGTCTGTATTAATGGTTCTTCAATCGGTTCAATCAATATTATTTGTTGGGTGGTCCAACGCGCTGGAGCATTATCTGTTAAGTGACTCAGTCATATTTGCATTAAAACTCGAAAGTTCCTTCGTTGCACCATTCATTTCGAAACTGTGCAAAAAATTAGAAGGTGAAGATACATAAGTTGTTTGGCACAACATTGTTTGTTCAATGAGAATTCAATGAGAATAAGCAAATCACGAATTGTTACGTAGTCCATTTTAAGAAGGCTGGCGAACATCACATGAACTTGGAAAGGGGGATGAATGGCTTTCGATGGTAATTTAGGTCGCAGTATACTGAATCTTTAGAAGTAAGATAGGTGATCTACACTCCCTGATTCATTTTCAAAATCTTTGTTGGGACTAATAATCTCTTCCCATTTCGTCAACGTCAACGTATTCACAACCAAAAACTTCTGAATCTCTTCACATTATTGCATTTATACACCACTTCGGTGCCCACGGAGTCTCCGCTCAAGAGACTATGTTTGTTGAAGGATAAAACAAGAACTGGCGTGAACAATTTGCGGACTTGCTTGGGATGCCTCTAATGCTTGGTAAAAAATTATAATCATACTCTCAACAAAGCATGTACTTTTTTTCGAACTCATTTTTGTTGGTTATTACTATACATCAGGAGACTTTTACTTTACTTGGATTACTTGGCCCATCCTCACACGTCGTGCGGGCCCCAACTTTTCACCATTCATTACGGTTTATTGCAAATGTCATATATGTACGTCTTGGTAAGAGGTTGTGATTGCTGCTGAATGATCCTGAATCAAACTCCAACTGCTGACGCAGTTGGTTTACCCGGACAATAAATTCTTCGCTCCATCTCTTCGGTGATCTTCCACGTGGACGTTTCGAAGATCTTGTAATCCATTCTAATGTTTTTTGTCCATCTGCCGTCTTCTCTTCTCAATATACTTCACAATACCGGCCCATCTATGTTTAATTCGATGCGTACTCTGCTGGATCTTCTAGACGTGTAGCTGCTTGAGGTCGTAGCTCCGGATTTCAAGTCGATATTGTCCTAACTTGGTTATCTTCGAGTTTTCTTTCGAATACTTTGTGTGCTGTTCGTTTGTGCCTTCACAGTTGCTGGGGTATCAGCCCATTTCGGCTGTGTAAAAAGCCGGAAGAACTGTAGCTTTGAAAAGATGAGTGCGCAATTACTAAGCAAGGTTTCTTTAGTCTTACTCAGAGGACCGAATGCTGCTTAAGCTGCTCTGTCTTTGGCTGAGTTCATCCTTCATGTCGTTATTCATGTTGTTGGCGCGTCCTAAACGAACATAAGATGAAGTCTCCTCTATCGGTGCTCCATCGAAGAATAATTGAACTACACTGCGCTAGGTGTTTCTCATTAATTACGTCCTCTTTCGACTTGTCCTGAGACCAATCTTTCTCCCGCTTTCATTCAATTCGTTCAGCATCTCTTCAGCTTCCCTGATAGACATCAAGAACAAGTCGATATCGTCTGCGAAACGGAGATTCGAAAGGCACCTTCCATCCACGCAAACCCCCCTCTGCTTCTCAAACAACTTTCCGAGCGACTGCTTGAACCATTGCAGCAGCGCGGTAAGCAGCTTTGGCGACAACGTGTCGCCTTGTCGGACTCCTTCCTCGACGCGGATGTGGAGCGGGCGGTCAAACAGCTGTATCGTGGTAAATTCTTTGTTGCAGTCCGCTATGGTCCTCATGTATGTTGGGTTCACGCCTTGGTCGATTAAAACTGTTAAACGGCTCTGATTTCTACATTGTCGAAGAGCCTTGATCGACGAAGGTGAGGAGTAGGGCAGATGGTATTCGCGACAATCCTCTACGACTCTTGAACATTTTTGATGTGGTCGACGCAGCCGCATTCTCTATAGAATCCAACTTGCTCAGTCGGTTGTGCTTCATCTAACATCCTTGATCCTTGTGAAAAGCTTGTAGAGCACACCTAGCAAGCCGTACGGTAGGTTATTCTTAAGGTTTTCTCTTCAGCCTTTCTTGTGCAAAAAAACTAGTGTGGGATGTCCTCCACTGGTTGATCTTTCCTTCTCCAGATAGCGTGTCATATGAGTTGCCAGTAGAGTGTGAACTTGTGTCCGCCTGCTCTCAGCAAGTTGGCGGTGGTACCGTCAGGACCAAGAGCTGTGCCAATTTCTTGCCTCTATGGCCGAACGCACCTCTGAAGAAAGAATCTCTTGTGGCTGCTCACCGGCGGGGATGATAGGCTCTGGTACAGGCATCGTGAATCAAAAAAGTTTATTGTAGAAGTCCCCCGTTATCCTTGCATCTCGCGTCGGGAGCAGAGGTGCGATGAGTGGAGCCGGGGGCCTCCCAAAAGTGAAGGTGGTTTCAGCTACCACTGGGCGGCAAAAGTGAAGCTGGTAGTGCTGGACACTCACCCTTCAAAAAACTTCGACTGGGGGGGGGGAGGGGAGCACAGCTCGACGTCACTTTTACAAAAAAATTCTTTCTCAAAAGCTTCATAAGCTTTCCACTGACTAATAAGAGGGAAAAATAAGAAAAACAAATTGAAAGGTTAACAAAAGCTTTTTTCTCGTTCATTTTACTTTTAGGACTTTTAGTCCACCTTAGCACAAACCTTACCCTACAAAACCTATAAAGTCGCAACATCGTACACCTTCACATTCCAGATTTATAGGAGTAAACGCCAGCTGTTTAAGCAACCTAAAAACGCTTAGATTTTCAAGATAATCGTTCTCGGCGGTCACTGCTCAAATCGACTTGATTCTTCAACTTTCTGGTAAAACAACACTCACCCTTTAAAATTTATGAAGTCGCAATAGCTGACATCTTCAACCACCGGGTTTATAACATTGGAAATTTCGCATGATTTTTCGCTACTTTATTATTCGAAATTCTGCTTCTGGTGATTATTTCCTGGATCGACCCACTTTATTCGCCTCACGCTATAACAAAATTAACTTAATAAAATACGTAAAGTCTAGCTGAGTTTTACTTACAAATACACCATTTGAATGACACGTATTTTTCAAATATCTATGCCGCTGTACTCATCGTGGCCCTAAAGAGGGCCTTTGGGCTAGAGCTCTTCAATTATCCGAAGTCATCATGAAGCTTTGCCCTCCAAAATCGTAGAAAATGCTAAGGCGTAGAGCATCTATGTCGGTAATGGCCTTCAGATGCTTGCAGTAGGCGACGGCGAATTCATAAAAGTGGACAACATAGAAATATGCTCTCAATACTTTTTTTGCTTTACTTGTTCTAGATGCGATGCACTTGGTGCGTGCAGATTTCTCCTTTTCTGAAGAAGCTTCTTGGTGTCGTTTGTCAAAAACGTCCCGAGCCTCTTTCCACGGTAAGAACTGCCTGATCTGCACAACTGCGAGGTCCTTCAATCAGCTTTTTAGATCTTCTGGATCGTCTTCGCTTTCCTTCCATTCATATCTGGAAATGGCGTTCTCGAGAACGCGTTTGTCGTATACGGCTTTCTAGACGCGCGATGGCAAGATTTCCTTTCCATTCTCCGACTGAGTGGGATCTTTGCGCGAAGACGGTTGTCAGAATCCTGTACAAAACCACGGAACCATTCCGACATCAATCAAACTCCATTTCTCGTTGACAAGTACATGTTCTCTACACGTGCCGTTCCACTTGGTGACCCTACGTCCAACGGCGGTGTTCTCTCTTGTGGTTAAACGAATTTCCAGGGATAAACGGGCCGTTTCGATTAGTCCGACGAGTCTGTCTCCATTCTCGTTTCGAATTCGCAGTCCAGATTTTCCAACTCTGTCGCCTTGTTGGTGTTGTGACTGCCTTATCCTCGTCAACGATAAACTTGTAGAACGAGTTCTCCTTGCGAATGGCGTCTTCCAGCCCCTTATAGAACTTGTCGAGTTCGCATTCCTCTGCTGCATCTGCGGGCGAAAAACAGTCGGTGATGTTGATCTTCTTTCAACAAGGAGCTGCAAGATTGAGGTGCTCGTCGTGGCGACAGGAATTTATAAGAGTCGATGAGGTGGCTAACGGATTAGTGTACGACAAAACTTACGCCCCCGATATTTCGTGTTGAATCTCTGGCTGCCTTGCGTTCCCCTGACTGAAACGCCACCGTTGGGAATTAGGAAGATGGACTGCTAAACGATAAAAGTATCAGATTTAAACGGGAACCCACGAGAAAATATGATGCGACGCCTCCGGTGCGCACGCATATCGGGCCTCAAGATGAGCCCTGATTTGTCGAACTTTTGGTTACGACCTTGTTGCAACAACCGCAGTGAAGCTCGATCTGGCCCCTTATACACGTACTTGTATAAGGTATTTCACAGTCTGTAAGTAACCGCATATTTTTAGATTTATGTGTGCATTGAGGAGGAGCAGGAGATAGCGATCGTAAGGCACAACGTGCTTATTATCATAGATTCCTTTATGGTGCGCGGGTCTTCTGTATTCAGGATGGCCGTCTACATCGACAATTGTTTCGCGATACTTCTTAGGATAATGCTTTGAGCACTCTCCGTTCACCATACATGGCGCAGACGGATTGGTTGCCTACACTGAAGGTAAATTGTTTTTCAAGCAACGATGCCCAAAAGACGGGGGTGTTTTCGGAAGCGCTTGGAATTTGCTCTTGAACAGCTGCATCGTCGTCTTCAGCACTCCCCGGTCTTGCATGTGCAGACATTATGAGAAGCATATGACAAAGAGGAAATCCATGTTTTTGCCATTTCACGTTTCCTACATAAGCAACGACAGATCCCAACACTTTCTTCTTCAAAAGATAGTTATGCAATACTTTCAGCTTTCAGTGAAACACACGAGCCAATCAGGTCGTCGGTCGGAAGCAGACTGGCCCTGAAACAAGTTGTCGTTGATTTTCTGCCACTGAGGGTTGCACGT